ACTTGGTCGAAACTTGGTCGAAACTTGGTCGAAACTTGGTCGAAACTTGGTCGAAACTTGGTCGAAACTTGGTCGAGACTTGTTCGAAACTTCGTCAAAACTTGGTCGACGGGTCTTCGGACCGGGTCTCAACCCCGGAAGACCCACTTGGTCGAAACTTGGTTGAAACTTGGTCGAGACTTTTTCGAAACTTTGTCGAAACTTGGTCGACGGGTCTTCGGACCGGGTCTCAACCCCGTAAGACCCACTTGGTCGAAACTTGGTTGAAACTTGGTCGAGACTTTTTCGAAACTTTGTCGAAACTTGGTCGACGGGTCTTCGGACCGGGTCTCAATCCCGTAAGACCCACTTGGTCGAAACTTGGTCGAATAGTGGTCGAAACTTGGTCGACGGGAGCCCACTGTGTCTGTGAAGTTGTTGTCTTGACAGCAGTATGACTTTTTTTATTTCGGCAGTAAGACATGTTCATGTCCATACATGTCAGCACTGCAGGCAGTAATGGTTTTGTTGTTATTCTGCGATACCAGAATCTCAGTACAGGAACACTCACCAACAGGAGGATTTGAGAAGACCTGTAAATATTCAATGCAAATATTGCTATCTGGTATCATAGCAACAGGAGCCACCGTGAGCCCACTGGTGGTGGCAGCTCACACACAGTCCAACATGTGCATGGTGCACAAACGCAAACTCAGCCTCAGCCAGAGACAGGTTTAACCACTGTAGATTTTTTTTTTTTTTTTAAATTTGTTTTTGCTTGGCGTGTTTTGCATTCAGACGTTAGAACTCTTATGGAATATGATGTGTTTATGTGTCATACCCATCTGCTAACCTTCTCTATTCCTGTCATAAGGACATTTTAACAGCTAGTGCTTAAACTTACCCTTACCCTTCTGGAAATGTGGAGAGTAGTTGTTAAAATTGTCAATGTGAAAATGTTTCACAGCTGAATAAGATTTGCTTTAGCAATTGTGAGTAAATAAAAAGTCAGGTTTTATTCCAAAACATTAATTGACAGCACTGCACTTTAATGCATATATTGACTACATTGTGTCATTGCAATCTAATACATACCAGCCATCCTGTCTTGAACTAATTTCTAAAAACACTGCTTAGTTCTTAAGTCTGTATTTAGGAGTCAGTTGAAAACTTCCTAATGCTAGACTACACTATGTTGCATTTTTACTCTTTGGAAGAAGCTAAAAAGAAATTTACCATAGTGGTTTAATCGCTGTTAATCTATAAATTGCATAGCTCAGGTATATAAGTACGCTCTATAAGAAGGTAGTCATTTGCATAAATAGATACATTTTTGCCCCAAAACTGCTAATGTGGTTCAAATATGAGCCAATGTAGCAACATCTTTCAACAAATCACCTTAGAGCTGATGATGATGATAATAATAATAATAATAATAATAATAATAATAATAATAATAGGAACAAGTTGAGCCAAAATCTTTACAAGCGGGATAAATAAATTTGAATATTTAGCCCAGAAAGCTAACGTTTAGTGAACGTTAACTTGAATAAGCAAATAATTTGCAACATAACCTGTAGACAAAAATACATATTTTTCAAAGAACTACCAACCCACTGATTGGAGACTTTGGTTTTTGATTTATTAAGTATCTAATGTCTTTCAATGTCTAACTTTGAAGGGAAACACCAGCTAACAAGGTTTACTACTGCTTCACAGAATTTTGAGATTTAGACATTTCTGGATAGATCTCTGATTTAAAAAAAAACACTAAATAATTATTTTCTCACCGTGAACACTGACAAGACGAAGTGTCTTTTGTGTGTGTTTTGCTCTGGTAATTTTTTTGTTATCTTGAATGTATGTTTTTATATGCACATAGATTATCTGCTGGTATACACAGTTAAAAACACCATTCACTTCACACCAGCCTTTTTACCCAACGCCCTTGAGCCAAAGATGTGTCAAAATACTGTTGGCTCCATTACAGTCATCCGCAGGTGACTTTTAGACCTCAATGATCCAGCTTTTAATGTCACAGAAAAAAAACACAGAAAGAGAGAAACAATGAAGAGGAAAGAGGGCTCAATAGCCTTTCGCACCATTATAGCAGCTGTGGGAGGCAGAGTCCTCCCTGTAGTGCTGCTCCACTGGTTCATGGGACGTCTTTCAGGCTAGGATATTTAATTGGCCCACAATTATGAGAGTATGTGATAAATGTTGATGTTATATGCCTTCATATAGCAAACCAAAAATGACACTATGTTGTTAAAACCTCCCATTACGATTGTGGACAATGGACGAATGCCATGTATTGTTTGCAGGTCTTACTTGATGACAAAGTGCCAGGACTAAATCTTCAACCCTCTAGAGAATCTACTACTGAGAGTTAAACTCTTCTTTGTGGAGATTTGGAGTCAATTCATTCGGTTTTCCACTTGCATTTCATGGAACTAAATTTGGGGGAGTATAACACAATTTATTTATTATCATTAAATGTTAACTAAAAAAGTATTACTATAATGCAAAATAAATAAATAAATAAATAACTCAAAGAACTGTCAGATGTCTATGGATTTAGAAATAAAAGACCCAAATCCCACTGCACCGTACCAGCCCCCCCTGAACCTTCCTGCAGGTGGTGAGTCCACTGGAAGGTACCAACCGCCCTAACCTGGATTCACTCTAACCCAGGAGGTGAACCCTGGGGTTCCACACCAATGACAGAGACACTGGCTCTGGGCCAAAGTGCCACAGCTTTAGCTCAAAGATAAAAATAAAATAAAACCAACAGTATCAGTCGTGTTACCCTGTCCACAGGAGACTTCCTTCTACATTTACTCCAGGTTGTGTCCAAAGCCTCTTCTCCCCAGATCTCTCTACTGAAACTCAACATTCCCAGCCCTTTTCTTATACTCAAAGTAGAATTTCACTTGAAAAGTTCCCCAAAAGCCCTTGAACTATTTTACCAAACTTAAAAAACCCTGTAAAAATACATTTTTATTTTGATGGTAGACACAAAGTCATCCTGACATTTTATTCAAAGTACTTTTTGTACAGAGTTAACCTGTTTTTATTTTTGCTGTGTTCTGTGACTGAATTCTTCATCTCTGACCACTTTATGCTTCTTTAAGCCTATCAGGGGAAACAGGAGCCAAACCAAGCTGGACGAGGTCAAAGATCAGGGGCAGCGGTCCATTTCATTTGCTCTCATTCACAACCATAATTAGTTCATACTGTACTGTTATTATCTGTATCACAGAATAGGAATCAAGCTAACATGACAAGACTTCTCTCACATTGGAAGGGGATCTTTTACTTACGCTCAGCCTTGGAAGGTGAGGCGTGATTGAGTCTCTCCAGTGAGTCACTGCTGCCCTCCTCCAGGATGTAGTCAAAGTTGAGGATGAACATCATGACCACACCCTCCTCATTCTTCACTGGGATAATGTGGGTGGCACAGAGGAAGTTTGACCCTAAATAGGAGAAAAAGAAAATAAATCACAAAACCGGACAGTAAACATACCCAAACCAACATGTCCAACGAGCAAATCTGTAAAAATCCTGAAACTGAGTGTTCAATAAATCTTGAAGGTGAACTCCTGTCCTCATCAAAGAACCCCACAAGCCCAGAGCAGCCATTTCTGTTTGACCCTGAAGTGGAACAAAGATTAAAATGTTTGAAAATCTCATTCCAGACACAGCTCTATGTGGTGGTGGTGGTGTGCGTGTGTGTGTGTGTGTGTGTGTGTGTGTGTGTGTGTGCGCGCGTGCATATAATGACTGTTTCTTGAGGATCCTTCTATTTTCTCTCTCATTCTGGTCTCATGCAGTGGTTACTAACAAAACTGAAATCATATCCAAGGAACACAACTGAGACGCAGGACTGTAGACAAACCTGAACCAGAACTTGAGGTAGAACTAGTCTTATTTTAGCTAGAGTTTTTGTAGTGTTGTATACGTTTCCACCAGTTAACATGATGACATTTAGGTTAAAGTTAGGCAGGTGTGTTACAAACTGTAGTTCCACAACACTATTCACTGTCTGGAAAGAAAATAAGTAAACACTTCATGGATGAGTTAAAAGCTGCAACCACAAAAACTCCGATGGGGATGGGTTAAAGCCGATTCATAACAAAAACAGTGTGTGAGTGCGTGTGCGTGTACCGAGCAGTGAAATTAAGGTCAAAGGGTTAAGTTTTCCCCTGAGAGGGGAAAAGGTTTTGGAGCTAAGAGATTTCATATACCCTGAATTCTCTCCATGGCCCACTGTAGTAGACTGTGGAGTAGAAGAGTCAGTTCCACACAGTAAATAAGCTGTTTGGGATGTTTCCCCAAAATAGTTTCAAACATTAAATGCTCTTCGTTTCTCCAGAGTCTTAGTTTTGCGATTACATCCAATGTCCCCAAATCCCAGTACGACTGAGTGAAAGCTAAGTGTAATGTAACTGTGCTCAATGCTAACCCCCATATTCCACTGGATGCATTACGGTTGCGGTTGCATTGTGGTTACCGCTGCATTTAGCTGCTGTTATAATCAATGAGAAACATTCCACTGGCTGCAGCTCAGCTGCGACTGCTCCAATTCTCCAACACTTCTGGTGTGAACGCCCCATAACACATCAGGCTAATTAGACTGGGCTTAAAGCAAATGACTGAAATGCTGGTTTTAGTCTTGATGATACATAGGATTTTACTGTAATCACTAAAATTACTTTATGTAACATAAGTAAGTATGAAAGTACATGAAATAATCTCAATTAAAAAAAATTGAAGGTAAGTTGTAAAATTAGCCAAAGGTAAATCAAAATACAGTATTTAATATTTGCTAATTATTTTTGCCAGATTCATTTTAACTAAACACTGCATGAGTGATGCTTGATGATCTAACACTAAAGACAACCAGTTAACCCTGTGTTTGCCAAAAAATAATAATAATTGAACAAAAACATTGACAGAAAGAAAGGCAAGAAATAAATGTTGTTCAACACAGTAATAAGCCTAAAGTTAAGATACAGCCTCAACGGCTTTATTTAAATATTTGATTTTAAAATCAACACTTTTTTCTGCGATTGAGTTTCCATTGTTTTTGTATACACTGTAGTCTGAGAACAATACTAGACAGGTGAGCATGATTTTTTATATGTGTTAAGAATGAAAGACAGACATGTTCAGTGCTGAATAATGAATGGACATCTCTGGAAGATGCTCCTCCTCATATTAGGCTTTAAGTCCTGCTTTCACCATCAGGTTATTTATAGCACATCCAGCAGGCACCAAGCCCAGGGTGCTTCTTTTCTTGGAGACAGTCGGAGACGGAGATGAGCTGCTGCTGCATCAGCTCTGCCTTTTCTGATTCCACTCACAAATCTGTGAAAGCACTCAATTAAAAGATAACAACAGCCTGTTCTCTGTTCATCACAATCTTAAATCCTAGTATGCAGTAAAAAAAAAAAAAAAAAGGCTGTACCACACTGGGGTTTGATTTATGAATCAGGGAGCCCTGTTTCAGCTGGGCTAAGCAGTACACTGGCCCTAATAGTACATCAGTGTCTGCCAGAGTGGATAAAGCCATTCATTTCAGCCAGAGCCTGTGAGCACAATCACGCCTCCCCTGCCTTTGCTGACAGTATGCAAAAGATGATCGGGCTTCAAGTGTGCTTCTGTGTATGAACGTGTCATAGCCAAGGGGAATACACACTGTACTCAACACAGACAGCCTGTACGCTCTACATTACCACGGGGATTTGGAATAGGATGTCTTTATAATTGTGAAAAAGCCTGCATGACATTCATATTTCACTACCGGGCCAGCAGGCTGCGCTCAACAAACCCCAGTGACTTTCTACACATGTCCAGGCCTTGTACAATCAAACCCCGGGGCCATCACACAGCTTTGGGATGCACTGCTACATTTTAATAATAATGTTGGTGTAAATGTGATGAGTTTAGCCACAGTATTCATAAGTGTTAACAGCATTAGCGTGGGACTGTGATCTAACATTTATAGACGTGAGCAAACAAGCTATGTTTTAGGACGATACAGCTTCCTTTATCTGGTAGAAAGATTCAAAATACAAAATGTATTTGACCAGGTGCTGTTCGGTTTCCATGGTAACCATTTATTTTATATTATTAACTTACTTGGTTATGGGTAAATGATTAATGACTGGTTGTCAGATATGGATTAAATGAAAAGTGTTGCACTGTTACTGTTAGATTTCACTGCAACAGTCAATCACACATTATTATTCAACTGCAAAAAAAAAAAAAAGTCATGGATGGTAAGCTGTTGTTTTGACAAACAAAAAAAAGGGTTCACTTGACCTGGTTTTGTGTGTAACAACATCTATGCTGATGATAGAATAATATAATCTACAGATAATTGAAATCACTACATATAATATAACAAATAGGCCATACAGGAGGTGAAGTAAAGAGAGATGTTCTACATTTAAAATGACTGACTTTATCATAAGTTTTGGACATGGCACAAAAAGCAACGTTTCACCAGCAACATGTGAAACTTGTGATCGTTTTTGGAACAACTTAGTCAGTGGGTTTATGACGTGGTACAAGCTTCAAAATAACCAAAAAACAGAAAATAGAAACCACGATTTGCTAAAGAACGATACAGGCTGATGACAACAAACACACACACACACACACCTCCAAAAGAGTGTCTATAATGATCTGTGCACGCCCCATTAACGGACCTTGAGCCTGAGGAGTTCCCTGTTGTTCGTGAACGCCTCAGTATGCGTGCGTGTGTGTGTTTTGTGTTGTTCTAGAAATACATGAACTTGGAATCCAGAAGCATTCATAATTTAAAGGCACTAAGTATTATGTTCTGAAAAGCAGATTAGCGACACTGGTTTAGACACAACAAGAACAAGAGGAGACTGAACTAGGGGAGGAGGAGGCCGTCAGCTGGTAAGACAATACTGAAGAGAAAATTAAAAAGTGTTCGTGGATTCATTAGTCTTCACTGGGCCTGTTCCTGTTTCGACTAACCAAGTGCTTCTTTTAGTTTCTGTTGCTTCAGCACGGTGTCACACACTCGGGCTACACACATGCAAACACATTTGACTTTGAAAGAGGGCGTGTCTCCACCAGGAGATTTATGTCAGGGAAATACAAAACTAAATTTGTGTAAAATGAATATGTGAGTCCAGTGTCTGGAGCTGAGAAATATCCTCAGATAGCTACTGTGTGGCCTCTGGGGGGTGTTCAGTGTTTTGTTAACTTTAAGCTATCACCAAGCTACGTTTGACAGCCTTTAGAATATAAAAAAAAGTGTTTTAAGGGATTACTCAAAATTCTTGTGTTTTAAGACACAATTTTCCATACATGTTTAACTATAAAAAAGTAGGAGTTACCGTGCTGTCTCCTTAGTGGACAAAATGTTTTGTTTTTTTTCTTTAGGATGTTTCTTGCTGCAAATGTTAAGCAAATGTTTACTAGCAGCCATTACAACTTGAAGAGAGGGAAATGAGGAGTTGGACGTTGGTCTAGATCAGGTCAGACAGGTGGACAAATCATTTAAAGTTGAAAAAGTGAGATCACAGAAGACAATTTTGAGTTTAAAAATCTATATATATATATATATATATATATATATATGCACTTAGCTTGCAAATCATGTAAAATTATTATAAAAAATAACAAATCTATGATAAATTAAGCTTAAAATCTTAATTGACTGAGTTAAACCTCTTGCTCCCTCCTTGTTTCTCTCTCTCTCTCTCGCCTCTTATCTTTACTAACCACATCAAACAGATTCCCAGTCCTGCATCCACTGATGCTAATTCGTGCCAGCTTGGCCTCACTCACCGTCTTTCATCTAACTCATCTTCTATCCATCACACAAACACTCCGACTCTAAAGGCACTCTCTGATGCAGGTACACAATGATTGGGACTCACGCACTAAGGATAGCTTGTGGTATTCTGTGTGTCTGGACTGTACTATAACTGGCAGCAGCTTTATAAAGAGGCACCGAGTGTAGTTACTGTCAGAGGAAGATGATAAAGGAGTGAATGTCTTATATTCAGGCAACCGTTTTGTTGGTTTAGCCTTTAGATTTGCGGCTAACATTTCTTGTATCAGTGAAATAAACCATCAACTGTTTGTCTCAGGCATTAAGACGGGAAATCGTGGTTGCATGCATTGTATGATGTTGTGAAACAATTTACCATAAGCACTGATTTAGCTTGTGCTTTGTGTTGAAGTCATGTCCGAAAATATAAATATATATCAAAACCTGAAGTCTGCTGAGGTGCTGGGCATCAGAACAAAAAGTGACAAAGACACCCACCTAATTAGTGTGAGATGAGGTGGTGACAAAGACACCCACCTAATTAGTGTGTAAAGATGGAGCGAGCCATGAGCCAAGACCTCCTGTGTGGTGCTGAATACCTGGCCATGATTTGACTGAGACTGTCTGCCTGGGAGCTGCAGAGTCAAACTTTGTAAA